GTGGTTCATTGAGTTGGACACTTGCTCGCTAACCTGAAAGTCCAGGGTTCAATCCAGAGTCAATACCTTTAGATTTTACAACTCGGTTTCCCCTGTCAGTGATGTAGGTAAGAGGGGCTGACATGACAAAAGCGTCCAATCCTCAGGGACAATAAACCAAGCCCCCTACAGTATCTAATATCTTTGGATTTTTCAACCCGGTTTCCCCCTGTCAGTGATGCAGGTAAGAGGGGCTGACATGACAAAGTGTCTAGTCATCTGATGGGACAATAAACCAAACAGTAGGAACTCATGTAAAAGGAGTAGGCTAATGTTGCTGTCCAGATATTGACAGTGTCAATCCTCAAAAGATTTCCAATAAACTGACCTTTTTACTTTTTTTTAATAATTTCTCTCCGTTGAGTCGTAACATACTAGAATAAAACACTTCATCTGTTCGACTGAAAAAAATACATACTTTAAATTCCTATGAATGATTCAGGTTTGGCGGCTGAAAACTAGAATATCCTTTACAATATTGTCAATGAAGTTCACAGCATGAGATATTCTCCATATAAAATAATAAGAAATTTGTCAGTCAGGAGGTCAGCCTACTCACGATACAAACACCCACTACCATAGTTCTCAACCTGGGTAACCTCAGTTTTATTCAATGTGTTAATCTCTCAAACATCATTTCAGTTAACAACTTTATAAATATATTTTATTCAGTTGAAAGAACAATCAGAAACAATTATCAATTGAAATAGAAAGGAGGAATTTTTTATAAAAACTTATTTTCTTTTTGTATCAAAATGGACCCGTTTAATATATGTCTTGTCAAGGACCAAGTGAAACAACTTCTTGTTATTTCCACCTTTATCTTGACCGTACGTTCATCCTAAAACTTTACTTTATTATCTTGACCAGTGCTTTTATGATACTATGTTCTCATCACCATCTAAAGCCACCATTTTTTGTGTAATTCAACAAAAGGACATACTTATCATTTTTTTTTTTTTTGCACAGTAAAACAATAGTTAACATTATCTTATTTTCTTAATCTTTAAATTTCACCTTATATTATCACAAACCTTTACTTAGTGACCTGGGCCAGTGCTTTTATTACACCATTCTTAAACCAACATGTTTTGGTGAGATTTCTGAATATAAGAAATGTCTTACTTTCTGGACAAACCTAGACCACCACTGAGAATAGAATCAGCACGAATTGTAGAAACGTAGATTGTTCTATGTTTATAATTCAGGGGTATAGAAGGATCGTCTTCACCAGGTAATTCTGCGTCTGCTAAAATCTTTCATTTCTATTTCCCCTTCCTCGTCAGATTCTTCATCTTCTTTCTTTCTCGTTTCTTTCTGTTTAAAGGGACAGATGTGCCATTTTTTGTTTCTGAGACTAAAGTATGATTGTTTTAAAAAAAAAATGGCACATCCTTACATTTCTTACAGACAAAATTAAATTTGGCGACGAAAATAGTTTTCTTTAAGAAATATACACGTAAGTTACAGTTCACAACCTGTGAATTCACTCCAGAGACGGCACCAGGCCAGCATTCCGCAGGTACCGTACTCATAGGGGGCAGATTGTCTTAATAAGGGGACAATTATCAAGGTTGTGATTCAGAATGCAGCAGCTCTGTAAATGCGCCATAGATGCAAACCTCCCAAGGAGTGTCTGAAAAGATTCATCAAGAAAATTAGTGAAAAATGAAGGAATAACTGAGTCAGAAGAAAAAGACCCTGTTAAATGGGAATTTTTCACACCTTCAGAGATGCCTTTTTTCTAACATAATATAAAAGTACTTTTACAATGACTCTAAATTTGTGTTGGCCATTACCATAACTTTCGTTTTGTTAGTATTACGTGAGTATGTGACCTTTGAACTTCTGACAGCACACACAGTTTTAAATGGCCGATGTTAGATCAGTTTTGTTAAAAAATACTTTGATGGAACTGGAGACTGAACTACAAAATATACCTGGGTTGTGCAGATCTGAGGTATCTAAATAGATTTAAAACACCCTCACCCGTGGAGATGGAATGACCCCATTTAACAGTGCCTATTTATTCTGTCTCTACACCAGCCGACTTCCGTCCAAATAGCTATCAGAGGCTGGAATAGAGACAGATGTTTCGGACTAGTAGACAGGTTGTCGTAATCAACTCGCCTTTGCCTTTGTTCCAGACCGTCCATGACCTTTCATAGATTTGAATCTCTTCTGAACATAATTATTGTTATAGATTGTCAATAAACTACGAGTTCCCATCATTCTGTTGTTGAACAAGTCATCATGTCGGTGAGTTTCACTGCTAAATTCAATTGAAAGTTGATTTTGTAAACAAGAAACTGAGCTCCTGGCGAAAGTTTTCCTAGAAAATTTCTTCAAATTGACACATTTACGAATTTGAGCTTGAGATGAAAGTTTATATAAATGTCTGAAAACAGCCCAAGTCATTCCGCTGGAATTTTTAAGACAATTCATGACATTAATCTTAAGAAATCAAAACAGTGTTCTACTTTCAGTTTGTACTCGCGTTAACTCGCGTCTTACGCTAGAAATGGGAAATAATTGAGAAAATTAAAGATAAAGTTCAGACTACAAATAAATCTCTCTAACTCGCGCAAGTTTAATATTTGTGTGTGACAATCAATAAAACCAGTACTAATGATCCAATCCGCAAAAGAGACCGAAATCCAAACAACATATTGGCAAAACAATGGTATTACCAAATGAATTTTTCACATTAGACAAGAAATTGGGCTTTGTGCCAAGGGAGCTAAGGGGTCCATGACACCCCCACCCCCCTCCACGTAAAACTTTACATGACTTGAATGTCTTGTCAATTCACATAGTTTAGGACCCCCTTGGAAATTTTTGCCCCCCCCCCCCCCCTCTTACTTACGGGGCTGGTTTGTATGGAGTCCTATCCATGGTTCATAGATTTCTAGATTTATCTTAATTTTAGGCCTTTATGTAAAAGAAATAACAGTAACTTTTGTAAAATATGTGGATTTGTTTGAATTTTTGTAGTCCTAGTCTTTGACATAGAGGTTACATTACCAGCTGCTAAAAGACGTAATCTAATTTAACCATATAGTGGTTTAGGCCACCGTCTCCACAAACCATCCCACTTGTCATAATTCCGATGATATAGGCCTACCTACGATAGTTTAGGGTAAAACTAGACTATCTGATGGGTTTCTAGGAAATAAGTAAAAATTATCAATTTACTCTTTTTTATAAAATAAAATACCAACCCACAATTTAATTGCGAATCACAAATTTCCTAAACGTCCTTTTCTCCCTTAACATATTCTTCCTGAGGTTTATTATTCATGCAATATTCGTTATCCCTGCTTCAATTTACAATGATCAAATTGACCTTAAAAGGTCAAGTTTATATTTAAATGCAAAAGTTCATTTGAAAAAGTTAAAGTTCACCGTGCAGGTCAAGGACATCTTCGACTAAATCTTTCATCTGTAGCCTGTTAACCAATCGTATGTTCTCTGACACATTTTCACAAAGGTAAATGTTCATGTGTAAAGGTTCAAGTTCATGTATCAGGTTAAAGTTCATGTATCAAGGTTAAAGTTTATGTGTAAAGGTTAAAGTTCGTGTGTCAAGGTTAAAGTTTATGTGTAAAGGTTAAAGTTCATGTGTAAAGGTTAAAGTTCGTGTGTCAAGGTTAAGTTTATGTGTAAAGGTTAAAGTTCATGTGTCAAGGTTAAAGTTTATGTGTAAAGGTTAAAGTTCATGTGTAAAGGTTAAAGTTCGTGTGTCAAGGTTAAGTTTATGTGTAAAGGTTAAAGTTCATGTGTACAGGTTAAAGTTCGTCATGAATGTCAAGGACATCTTCGCCAAGATTAAAATACTTATCATCCACTCCCATATTCACCATAATCTCACAAAGGTTCATTTACAGAGGTAAAAATTCATATCTAAAAGTTAAAGTTCATGCGTAAAGGTTAAAGTTCATCATGAATGTCAAGGACATCTTCAGGAAGGTCAATGACATCTTCTCGAGGTTCAATGAAATCTTCATCAAGATCTATCAAATCCGGATCCTGGGCTACGGGTTTCTCGGACGGAAAAATATATTCTTCAAATAATCCTTCATCTTCTCCTTCGAATTGACTATCAATATTCTTCTGTATCTTGACTATAACTCTCAGTATTTTATCTACTTTACCCTGAAAATAATCAATATCTCTTTCTTATATAGGCTATATATATTGTCACTACTCTGGGGGTATAGTGTAGGGTTCGTTAGGGATTGAAAAAGAGCAGGCTAATGCTGCTGTCCTGGCAATATTTCTCTCATTGTACCCTGCATGGTGTTGTCCGTCTTCACTAGTCCTCATGGTGCATTTCATTTTTTTAGGTATTCTCAGCCATGTTCTGAACTGATAGACTATGTTGAGGCCGACGCAATTTGTTTTTTGAAATAGGTTTCGTGTGGGCAGGGAATATTTAGATGAGATAAACAAGAACTTGAGTAAATAAGGACAGAACTTAAAGTTTTTACAAATCATTAAGTCGAGGTGTCTGAAGAAACCAAACCCCATAGTACAACACTTACATCCGGGTCTAAATGCTGGACTTCATCCATCGTAATTTGACCATCTTTATTTTTATCTAAAAGACCTCCAAGCTACAATCAGAAATTAAGGAATTTTTATCTAAAAGACCTCCAAGCTACAATCAGAAATTAAGGAATTTTTATCTAAAAGACCTCCAAGCTACAATCAGAAATTAAGGAATTTTTATCTAACAGACCTCCAAGCTACAATCAGAAATTAAGGCATTTTTATCTAACAGACCTCCAAGCTACAATCAGAAATTAAGGCATTTTTATCTAACAGACCTCCAAGCTACAATCAGAAATTAAGGCATTTTTATCTAACAGACCTCCAAGCTACAATCAGAAATTAAGGCATTTTTATCTAACAGACCTCCAAGCTACAATCAGAAATTAAGGAATTTTTATAAGAATTACATTTTTTTTTCAAAACGCCTATCATTGATGTTGACAGCTTACTTCGAATCATTGAATAAGGAGACGTCCGAGACCAGTACTTCTCAACAGGGGAGGAATTATTGCCGTGAGGTCAGGGAAATAGAGAGGAATCTACTGCTGCCATTTCCTACCATATATTTGGTGGAGTGCAGGTCTAGCTTTGTTAATGATGTGCTCCGATGATCTACGGGTGTGGGCACAAGAGCGGTCTTTGTCGGAGATTTTTGTCGCCGATTAGAGTTTTGAGAAAAATCTTCCACGACAAGATTACCGATAGTTTTATCATCTGCAAGATAGACCGTCATCATCCAATCAGATTCCCTTTCATTTCAATTGCATGTTCCGCACGTGATTATCGACAAGGTGGAAAACACCAACTGGAGATTTTTTTTCTCATATGCCCTTGTCAGTCCCCTCCCTCTTCCCTTGCCGACACAATCCCTAGAGACTTGGACTCTTTTTAAATTTTCTTACCTCACGTGCCTTTTCAGATAATTTATTTAAATCTTCTTTTATTAGGTCTACATCCTGAAATATATAGACCTGGAGTGAATTGGTAGAAAAGTTGGTGAACAGGGCGGTGACAGGAGGTAGGGGAAATATATAGGCCTGAAGTGAATTGGTAGAAAAGTTGGTAGGGAGGACTTCGTATGATCTTCCAAGTTATCTTAATTTCAATGTCCCTGTTTTCTACATGAGAAAAATACATCGTTACAGATTGTTTAACACTATTTAATTAACAAAAAAATCACTTTCAGCTAAAAAAAAAACAGCTTCACAAGACAATCTGTATAAATAACTATTTAGAAGCATTAAGCCGGTAGCTCAACTTTATTTCTCGGGGGACAAGTAATATATCTGGGGGGGGGGGGGCAAGTAATATATATGTAGGGGGCAAGTAATATATCCGAAGGAGCAAGTAATAGATCCGAAAGGGCAAGTAATATATCTGGAGGAGGCAAGTAATATATCCGACGGGGCAAGTAATGTATCCGAAGGGGCAAGTAATATATCTGAAGGGGCAAGTAATATATCTGGAGGGGCAAGTAATATATCTGGAGGGGCAAGTAACATATTCAGAGGGGCAAGTAATATATCCGAAGGAGCAAGTAATAGATCCGAAAGGGCAAGTAATATATCTGGAGGAGGCAAGCAATATATCCGACGGGGCAAGTAATGTATCCGAAGGGGCAAGTAATATATCTGAAGGGGCAAGTAATATATCTGGAGGGGCAAGTAATATATCTGGAGGGGCAAGTAACATATCCAGAGGGGCAAGTAATATATCCGAAGGGGCTAGTAATATATCCGAAGGGGCAAGCAATATATCAGGTGGAGCAAGTAATATATCAGGAGGGGCAAGTAATATATTCTAAGGAGCAAGTAATATATCCGAAGGAGAAAGTAATATATCAGGAGGAGCAAGTAATATATCCGAAGGGGCTAGTAATATCTCCGAAGAAGCAAATAAAATATCCGAAAGGGCAAGTAATATATCTGGAGGGGCAAGTAATATATCTGGAGGGGCAAGTAACATATCCAGAGGGACAAGTAATATATCCGAAGGGGCTAGTAATATATCCGAAGGGGCAAGTAATATATCAAGAGGAGCAAGTAATATATCAGGAGGGGCTAGTAATATATCCGAAGGAGCAAGTAATATATCAGGAGGAGCAAGTAATATATCCGAAGGGGCTAGTAATATATCAGGAGGGGCTAGTAATATATCTGAAGGGGCAAGTAATATATCAAGAGGAGCAAGTAATATATCAGGAGGGGCTATTAATATATCCGAAGGAGCAAGTAATATATCAGGAGGAGCAAGTAATATATCCGAAGGGGCTAGTAATATATCAGGAGGGGCTAGTAATATATCCGAAGGAGCAAGTAATATATCAGAAGGAGCAAGTAATATATCCGAAGGGGCAAGTAATATATCTGGAGGGGCAAGTAATATATCTGGAGGGGCAAGTAACATATCCAGAGGGGCAAGTAATATATCCGAAGGGGCAAGTAATATATCTGGAGGGGCAAGTAACATATTCAGAGGGGCAAGTAATATATCCGAAGGGGCTAGTAATATATCAGGAGGGGCTAGTAATATATCCGAAGGAGCAAGTAATATATCAGAAGGAGCAAGTAATATATCCGAAGGGGCTAGTAATATATCAGGTGGGGCTAGTAATATATCAGGAGGGGCAATGGCGTATGTTTTTCAGGGAGGAAATCCCCCTACCTCCCTAAGAGGTCTAAGAAGCGTGTTGATTGGCCGGTTTGAAAATGATTAAATGCTGTAGATGTATGTTATGGAGCAAGTAATATATCCGAAGGGGCTAGTAATATATCAGGAGGGGCTAGTAATATATCTGAAATGGCAAGTAATATATCAAGAGGAGCAAGTAATATATCAGGAGGGGCTAGTAATATATCCGAAGGAGCAAGTAATATATCAGGAGGAGCAAGTAATATATCCGAAGGGGCTAGTAATATATCAGGAGAGGCTAGTAATATATCTGAAGGGGCAAGTAATATATCAGGAGGGGCTAGTAATATATCAGGAGGGGCTAGTAATATATCTGAAGGGGCAAGTAATATATCAAGAGGAGCAAGTAATATATCAGGAGGGGCTAGTAATATATCCGAAGGAGCAAGTAATATATCAGGAAGAGCAAGTAATATATCCGAAGGGGCTAGTAATATATCAGGCGGGGCTAGTAATATATCAGGAGGGGCAATGGCGTATGTTTTTCAGGGAGGAAATCCCCCTCCCTCCCTAAGGGGCCTAAGAAGCGTGTTGATTGGCCGGTTTGAAAATGATTAAATGCAGTAGATGTTTGTTATGGTTTCAGACGTGTTAAAAATCTTACTTTATCTTGTAAATCAAATTCTTCTAATTCCTACAAAATATATAAAAATATTAATTGAGAATTAGTTTAACCTTTAACATGAGAAAAATTTGTACCAGAGTTTAAATTTCATTTATAGACATTGTAGCGAGATTTTCTAAACTTCTAATTCTATGTAAATCAGAAAATAAAAGAGACTGAGCCGGGTTTGTCCCATCAATTTTTTTTTTATCTTTTTACACAGTGATGTTTTCTCATCTCAATCTTATTTAGTGGACAATGATAGCTTTAATTTTAAGTAATTCCCTCTCACAAGTCAAAATAGAAATGTAAAATATGTTCTTTTCGTATGTTCTTGGCCAGTGCTTCTAAAGACGAATATTGAAATAAAGGGAGATAATTGGTAACTTACTGGAAAAAGAGACATGATGAAATCTGATTGAGATACAGAATTATTAACAGATGTTTCTATTATACCAGTAAATAAATCTCTGAAATACATAAAACACAGAAATATATAAAGTCGTCATCAGCATGGCGAAGCTCAATTCAAGCTAACCGTATCACTTTAAAAACCAAAAGCAGGCGTATAATGGTTCAAAACAATTTAAACAAGAATTACTCAGACCATGAATATATTGAGTGCAGTTATCCACAAACTCTAAAACAATTAAAGTGTTTCTTAAAATTCTTAAAATAGTAGGTTATTTGTTTTTAGATACTAGAGGCTGATTTGTAATCAAATTGATATATAAAATAAAATGAAATGGAGTTTTACGTCCTACTATTCTGCACCATGTGGGCTAATGAAGACGGGCAACGCCATGCAGGGTACAATGAGGGAAATTTTGCCAGGACAGCGGTATTTGGCCTGCTCTTTTTCGATTTGATTGATATATAAAGAGAATCTACTTACTTGATAGTTTCAATAGATTCTAATATTTCCGATTCAATATCTTCACTTCCTACATCTTGTAAAGTCGACTGGTCTGTCGAATCAATCTCCGAATTAACACCGGTATTCAATATAACAATAACACACAGAATTATCACACGTAACATAAATAGCTTCATTTTGAATATTCAATATTTACAATATCTCCCGAGTTAATAACGTTATATAACTTCTAATAGACGATATATACGTTAACGTTTACGTTAACGATGTACGTTAAAGATCAAAAACGTATTCACTAAATACACGTAGTCTTAAATACAGCGGAAAGTCTACAGCCGTTACAATTCAATAGATTCTTTACACGTAAATTATTAAGCAAAATAACTGTTAAAATCTGTTCTATAATTTCTATTTAAATTCAAACTGTTACAAATCGATAGTTAGTTGATTGTTACAAGTCTACTGTATTTAATTTACCAGCTGATAGACCCAATATCAGATAGCTTTACCAACTGATAGATCTGAATTTCAGACAGTTTTACCAGCTGATAGAGTCCAATTTGAGACATGTTTACCAAACAACTTTACCAGCTGATAGAATCCAATTTCAGACATCTTTACCAGTTGATAAAGTCCCATTTCAGACAGCTTTACCAGCTGATAGAACCTAAAGAGAGCCAGCTTTACCAGCTGATAGATCCCAATTTCAGACAGCTTTACCAGCTGATAGAACCCAATTTGAGACAGTTTTACCAGTTGATAGAGCCTTATTAAAGACAACTTTACCAGTTGATAGAGCCTTATTAAAGACAACTTTACCAGCTGATAGAGCCCAATTTGACAGCTTTACCAGCTGATAGAGCCTAAAGAGAGCCAGCTTTACCAGCTGATAGAGCCTAAAGAGAGCCAGCTTTACCAGCTGATAGATCCCAATTTCAAACAGCTTTACCATCTGATAGAGCCTAAAGAGAGCCAGCTTTACCAGCTGATAGAGCCTAAAGAGAGCCAGCTTTACCAGCTGATAGATCCCAATTTCAGACAGCTTTACCAGCTGATAGAACCCAATTTCAGACAGCTTTACCAGCTGATAGAGCCAAATTAGAGACGGCTTTACCAGCTGATAGAGCCCAATCTCAGGCAGCTTTACCAGCTGATAGAGCCTAATTAGAGACGACTTTACCAGCTGATAGAGCCAGATTAGAGACAACTTTACCAGCTGATAGAGCCCAATTTGAGATAGCTTTACCAGCTAATAGATCTGAATTTTTCAGACAACTTTACCAGCTGATAGAACCCAATTTGAGATAGCTTTACCAGCTGATAGAGCCCAATTTGATTCAACTTTACCAGCTAATAGAACCCAATTTGAGATAGCTTTACCAGCTGATAGAGCCCAATTTGAGATAGCTTTACCAGCTAATAGATCTGAATTTCAGACAACTTTACCAGCTGATAGAGTTCAATTTGAGATAGCTTTACCAGCTGATAGATCTGAATTTCAGACAACTTTACCAGCTGATAGACCCAATATCAGATAGCTTTACCAGCTGATAGATCTGAATTTCAGACAACTTTACCAGCTGATAGAGTCCAATTTGAGATAGCTTTACCAGCTGATAGAGACTATGGAGACGGCTTTACCAGCTGATAGATCTGAATTTCAGACAGGTAAATTTTGACAATTGTATTTTTGGTAGTCGGGACCGGGGGAAGGAGCAGCCATTGGCACACTCCATTTTATATTTTGACCTGAGGTTGAAATTTCGGATTTCCTTTCAAGAGCCCAACAATAGTTTACATGACATGGGAGATAATCGAGAAATTACAAGTAAAATTCAGACTTCAACTAATTTTGTCTCCCTTCCTCCGGTGACTTTTTGGGAGTGATGACTTCGTAAAATTTCCTTTCCAAATTGTTTGCGAGCATGATATTTGTGAACTAATAAAATTCATTCAATGAGCGCCCAGGCATCCTTTACAGTGACATTTCTGTGGGGTCGAGTCGCCCAATGCAATCCCACTTTCAAATATTTTGATAATTTTATATAGTGAAAGAATTGACTCCCCCAGAAAATTTTGTAGCCCCTGCTTGGCCCCCTCACCTGATGTTTCCTTGAGGATTTTAGTGGGCACTAGTTATTGTGGGGAGGTTTGAGGAGCTTTTTCTAATGTTGGAAACCGTAGATTACATCTAAAGCAATTTTGGAAGTGAAAGTAGAATAAATTTTTATATTTTTCAATGGCCAGGGTGGGAGGGGGCATGGTTCAAAAATTACCACCCAAATACACCACTATTCACTTCCTATTTTACTCCTTCCATTCTTCCACTAAGTCCCAGGGCCAGGTCAAATACTCTTTCTGACTTATTTTTAAAGTTTCAACAGTCAAACCAGGAAGAAAATAGAAAGACATCAAATTTAATTCTATTTTTATTTTTTCTATAAAAAGAAAAATGGAATGTTTGATGGTATTTACAAAAAATTAAAATTTTAAAACTTTCAGTAAAAATATACAAATTGCTATAGTAGAATTCAAACATTGCTAAAGTTTAAAAATTGCAAATATTAAAAATGGAATGATATAGAATCATGTGATGAGATGAAGCTTACAAGTGATGTTATATTGTTTTAAACAGATAACAGATACATCATTAGTTAACATTATCTTATCTTAATCTTTAAATTTCACCTTATATTATCACAAACCTTTACTTAGTGACCTGGGCCAGTGTTTTTATAACACCATTCTTAAACCAACATGTTTTTGGGGGGATTCCTGAATGTAAGAAATGACACACCTAGACCACCACTGAGAATAGAATCAGCACGAGTAGAATGTTCTGTGTTTATTATGTTTTAAAAGGAAACCAAATGATGAAGGGTTTTAGACAGAACCTTAGCGTTTTGACATTTCTATTCAAATATAGGGCCATAAGAAAGGATGTTTGAATTGTCTCTGGATGTATATAATATTGTTATAGTTATTATACTCTTTGAAAGGGATGCTGAGTTGACAAACAAAGAACAATATTAAAGATGTGGAAAGAAAAAGATGCTAAGTTAACAAATGGGAATACAAAATTAACATTTTGAACGATGTGGACTCTCTGAAAGGGATGTTTTGTTGACAAACAAAGGGCATTATTAAAGATGTAGAAAGAAAAAGATGTTAAGTTAATAAACCAAAATTTAACAACAATGCGGACTCTACAAAAGGGTTGTTGAGTTGAAAATCTTATAACTAACTATGTAGACTCTCTGAAAGAGATACCAAGTTAACAAACAGAAATACAAAATTAACATTGTTAGCTATGTGGATTCTACAAAGAGTTGTAGAGTTGAAAATCTTATAATTAACTATGTGGACTCTCTGAAAGAGATACCAACTTGACAGAGTGCCAACAGGTGTTCTGGAAGTGAAACTAGATTCCTAACTAAGAGAGATATCTACTCTACTAACCAGACAAAACTTAATCAATATACAGTACAATGATAAAATATAAAAAATCTCTAAAAAATATAAATTGTCTGATGAGAAGAAATAAATAAAAACATGATTGTGAATCTTCTAGTAACAAACAAACAAATAAACAATCATGGATACTAAACAAAAACAACAGATAATATAATATAGCCAGTCAATGAATTTCTACTTGGTCAGTATCAGTGAGGGTAGAACATTAGTATTAAGGTGTGGGTACACGAGCGTCTTGGTCAGAGTCTCCAACTCAAATCTTGAATAAAATCTACCGTGTGCCCGGGCTTTTACGACAAGATTATCGTTTCGCTGACAGGATTTATTGTATAATTGTCTTTTTGTTTTATAGACCGTCATCATCCAATCAGATTCATTTTCCTTTCAATTGCATGTTCCACACGTGATTATTGACAAGGTGGAAAACACCGACTAGAGATTTTGTCTCCTCGTGTGCCCGTGTCATTGAAACTGACAAAGACCGCTTGGGTTCTGGCACTTTTAGAAACTAGGTGGGGCCAGAGCAGTTGGGTAGGGCCAGGTGAGTTGAAGCAATGCTGAATTGAACAATTTAAAAACTTTGTTCTCCTGTTGATAAACTGACACTCCTCATTCAAACAGCCACAAATCTATACAAATTTAAGATGAATAAATGGAGTTATTGCCCTTTGATACCTCTAATATTCTATTTTGACTCGAAATTTCAAAAAACGTCAAAAATGAAAATCTGAGGTAGAAGGCAAAATAACACATTTTCACCAGAACCAATCATGTTTTTGTCTGGAGACTGGATTTTGCTTTATGATCTTTTTGAAATCAGTGGAGTAGCTCAGTCTTTAGCGAGTTGTCGTCTGCTAAGCCATTAGGTGCTGTGGGTTCAAATCCTCTTCACGATGAGAAAAATTCTGATGCCTGAGACATTGTTTCCGAGAGTGTAGACTTTCACTGTCTTTCACTTCTACGCTCTAGTGACCTTCGATACATCTCAATTGACACTTCCATCCTAACACAGCCCAGCAGACGTCTACACTAGAGAATTCCTGACAGACCTTCCGAAATTCCATCTTCATCCTGGGACAACCTACCATAAACAATGTCACTTTCAAACTTCCATCCTGTTAGGGAAATCTTACTTCTATTACACATCTAGCAGACGTCAATAATCTCACTTCTACGCTTGGAGGTTGACCATTACCATCCTGGAAGGAATTCTTATTCTATAACGCAAACAAACAGACGTCAAACTCTCAAACATCAGTAGCTAATCGCATTTCACTTTCTGAATCTGTTTTCTTATTGGACATTGACTTAATCGTAGATTTGATTGAGTCTAAAATGGACGTTACGGCTTTATCGTCCACAACTTTACGTCCTGATAAACTAGACCGACTGCTGCGTTGGACGGGGAGAGGTTGAGACAATTTAGCACCAAGCAACGGATCATTTTCAACGTTCAGTTTTTGACGACTTCCAGTAGCTTCAGACACAGATTTATTCAACGATGACATGGAATTTGTACGTAACGAATCACGAGAACTCAAAAAATCTTCTTTGTCTTCAAAGATTGGATCGAAACGAATATAAGTCGAGGAACGATGTTCTTTATTTTTAGATTTGTCTGCTTTAGGTGATTTGGGTGATTTGGGTGATTTTGAGGAGCGGTTTGATTCAGGCGATGGTGAAGTCGTGGGTCGAAGTAACGACTCAATTTCTGATTTTACGTTCATTTTCTTTTTTGAACTGTTGATCGTTGCAAATAAATTGCTGGCACTTTTTAAACTGAATTTCCGATCTCCTGAGTAGTCTTTCAACTGATCTATATCAGTTATCCCCCTTCTTCTTGAATCCTTTTTGCCGTCTGGTAAGGAGGACGTAGAATTTCTGGCTAATGGATTGTCGTTTCCAGGCACACTATCTCTCATGGCAACAGAATATGATGTAGCACGTCCCATGGCATCAAAAGGGGCAACAACTCCATTTGTTTTACGGACTGCGATGCGATATGAATCGGCACGGATTACGTTAGGGTCTGGTTCAGGCGTCACTGGAGTGGCTGGTGTCCTTGGTGATGATGAGGTTGACTTCACGGAACCAGTTGATTTACGTTTTAAACTCGATTGATCAACTTCTCTTGATTTCGAATGAGGATTGGTCAACTCGTTTGCATCAGTTCTCATGGCAACACGGTATGAATCTGAACGAGATGAATTCAATGAGGTATCCTGACTTTGACCTGTGTATGTAGATGAATGAGACGTAGTAGGCCAGGATTCAGAATGAGGCAGATGACCTTGTGAGTTGTTAACGATGACTACGGCAGGACTGACTGGAGCAGATAGTTGAGACGTCAGATTAGGTTTAGAATTCCGTCTCTCGCGTTTTAACGTTCCTGAATCCGATTTGATGCTGTTACTATTTATATCCTTGCTGTTTAATTCCACACCAGCGGCTGCAGCAATCAACGCTGACGACACACGATAAGTATCCGTTGGACGAGCACTGACTTTTGACATACCGTCGTTTTCATTCAAGGTCAAGGTTGAATTGGTCGGAGTCGAGAAAGGGCTAGACATGCTCACGTATGTAATACTGTTGTCAATGTCTGACAGCGCTAAGGAGCTGGTACTTGATAAATTGTCATTTGAGCGTTGTTTTAAACCTTGACTCATATCCATATAGCCTCCGTCATTTTCACACAATGATGAGATGGATAACGAACTAGCTGAAATTTCTGACGGAGCACGAATTGGGAAACCTTTGAGGTTACTCACTGCGTAGTGATTTGTTGGAGTTGATGTGGATATATTTTTTCTATAATGAATGACCTGAGGTCGGCTATCTGCTGACGTTGACCTTGAACTTTCATCTTGACGACCTTTAGGGGTCACAGTAATGGTTGGTTGATATTTGATGGGAATGGTAGAAGGTTTCTGATTGGATGTTGAATTGTCATCCATGAATGGAATGGTTAACTGATAACTCTCACTATTGGTCGAATCGTAGGCATTCACCACAGGGTCAAAGTTCAAAGTTTTTGACATTTTTGATGAATCACTTTGCTCCGATTTCAAAATACCAGATTTCTGAGATCGTGGCCATGAATTTGATTGGTCACCAGTGTCCTCTTCCCAATTTTTCTTGCTGAGATATTTTCGTGTCCTTGGCAACGTGTTCCCTGAATGATTATGAGCACATTTTGATTTCACTTTTTCCGATTCTTCTTCAGGAATTGTGTCAAATTCCAGAATTTCTGGCGACTCTGGTTGAGATTTTGGCGACTCACGAATTTCCTCACCGCTGTCTGAAGGTGACACAGAACACCATGATGGATAAGCTAAGGACGTAGAAATCTGAGTTTTCAATTTTAATCTTGCATATATTGTCTCTTGATCAGATTCTGAAAACGAAGAGTCGTAACATTGTTTCCCAGACGTACTCAGACTTGAATTACTTCCATCACTCACTGCGGGGCTACCATTACCGATTTCAAACGTTGATTCAGAGATCGGAACGCTGACGTTAGTTATCGAACATGTCCGTCTGGGAGTAGGGGGAGGTAACTTCCCAGATACTCGTTTTAAAACTGTTCTTTTTCCTGGCCCCAGAGATTGTCCTGGCCCAGAAGTCGGACGAAAGATAACGCTATCGATAGTATTCGAACTTCCCATTCCAAATAAATTCAAATTTTCTTTGGTTGGTGAGAGATCATCTTCTCCTGCCAGGTTTCCGTTGCTATGACGAAGCCCACTGTCTGTATGGAAGGAAGTAAAGAAGCCATCTTGGTCGACAGAAAATTCTGAAAATTCATCATCTAATTTTGGTTGCTTTAAATCTGGTGACTGCATGTCTAAAGCTAGAATATTCTGGCGAGTCAGTCTGGATAGCGAGTTCAATGTGGTGGCATCTGATGATGTCACATCCTCTCGGCTTGCAGCTCGTAGCGCCAAACTCTTCAACCATTGGTCAGTTTCTAGTTTTGTATATTGTTCTGACTCTGTATCAGCATCACGTGAAATATTGCCCTCTTTATATGTTGAGGTACCAGTTCTGAAATGATTAATTAAAATTGTTCTTGTAATCATAATTTAGGAGTTAAAAATGGTAAACACAAATGTGGACGTGGAAGGTCGTTGAAGGACTGGTTGTTAAATTGAGTAGTTTATCAGAACATTGACAAAATCCAGAAGTACATGTAGGCCTTCTAGAAATTTATCTTGATTAATGACAATAAAATAAAAAATAAACAACATAAAGGGAGGTAACTTACCTGTTGTCAGAAAATGATGGAGAATCTCGTCCTGAATCACGCCCTAGAGAATAGGCAGAATACGTTGATGGCATACTGGATTTACCTGATTCTACAGAATGTCTGTTACTATAGCTGCTGGCACTCCAATGTCCTGGAATTCAAAATATAAGATTTAATAATCTTCACTCATTAATTCCAGTTGACCCAGCTGTAAATGGGTATAGATAATCCAGGAAAGATCATAGCCAAGAGTTTTGGCCAAGGATCAGCTGATAGAAAGGATCCTTGTGAATCTAAGTTGTTATCATTGTAAAATATGGTTGTTTCTTCTTAATGTCATGTGTCTGGTATATATAGAGGTAATGAATATTCATTCTACTCCAAATAGAATCAGACCAGTTGTCAATAGAAAAGAAAGAAATAATAGAAAGAAGCGTAAGATATAAGTATATTCTAACTCTAATATCAAGTTTATTTTGTGTGAATTTCATCTTATCAATTAAATTCACTTTTTCACCACCATATTGATAATATCCATATATCTAGCGCTCGGCCCTGTTGACAGGAATGAATTGGTGCTGAAGCTCAGATTTTGTACTCATTTCTGATAATTTTGAGGTGCAAAAAACGTATCAAAATCTATATCTTTTTGATTTTATATAAAGAAACTGTAAATGAATCAATCTCTGCTGAACTGAAGAAGATTTTGCTGGGGCCCGGCCCTTACAGACCCCACGCTAAATATAAGGGCTACTTGTTCCTCTTTATCTATGTCTATTTCTCTCTATCTTATAAACAATATAAATAGATATCTTTGCTCAACTTAAAAAACATTCAGACATCAAATCCCACTAACCTGAAGATGAATGACGTTCTTCTTTTGGTCTGCGTTTAGAAATTTCCCTCAATTTGACAGCAGTTGTCCAGTCTTTTGGTAAACTCTCCCACGGGAAGTCATATTTCTTGGCCTGTGCCTTTGGCAGTGTGTTACTCTCGAAGTAATAATATGTTCCTGGTCCTATAGATTTCTCCGATCCACTGGCGGTACTCATTATTCCTGGAAGTAGAAATGAAATGAATGGAGTTTTACGTCTTGTTTTTCTGCAGCATGTTGGCTAATGAAGACGGGTCTGGAAGTAGAATCTATAATTATAAAATCATATGGCATAATACATTCATCAACAACATTCAGTTTGTTCAAATCACTTTCAATTTTATATTTCTTTAACAAGAAAAAACTGAAGTCTGGTGATAAATATGATTCAATTAAACATTAAATCTTTGTTTTATTATCGGTCTTGGATGCAGTTGGCAGCTTTCAGTGAAGTTTGAAAACAGTTTGTGAAATATCCAAATATCTTGTCTTGACTTCAAGTTTTTAATTAATTGGCACGACACGAATAGAGGTGTTTTGTAACATCTTGTTAATCATATTCCTAGTGTTTTAGATACTAGCAGATTTTTAGAAAAGACCTGTTATAATTTCTGAAGATATTTAATGTTGCTATGATACAACTAACATGTAAATATTCCTGTAGAAAAATTAGTAAGAATACCGTTCATTTTACTGATATCTTCTGATCAGATACGTTTTAATAAATATAATGAAAATGAAGATTTAGTTGGGATATCTTTTAATTCATGTTTGAAAATCTTAACCTAAGCTCAGTTAATCAGAACAAACCAATCAATTATTGTTTTTATAGTTGACACCAAGCAGTTATAATAATTGTCACTGAAAATGCCTTGAAAGTTTGAAATTATTGAAGATTATCAACTGATACTAAAATAACACCCTAATCCTATTGTTTTTGTTTATATTGTTCAAGGTGTTTTAATATAAATGACTAATCTTAAGAAGTTGTTTTTAATGAAATCTGTCAGAATTTGATTAAAGCTAATCCAATCAAGTTAAGTCTATCTTAAACTGATTGATATAAATATTTATTTTCCTGTGCTCAGTTTTCTTCTTTTAAAAAATCTTAAATCACTAAGGCAAAGATTTCTTCGTCTGTCCAGGGTTCTGTATTCACTGGCATACGATCCAATCAAATTTGTCCACTCTGTGATACAAGAATGATGGCTTTTACTGTCAAGGTATAAGACTTTCCATGAATAATAGAGACAATGAACAATGGAATCTGACCTAATAAAATAGACATTAATTGATATTCTGTATGAGAGCTGTATTTAATCTCTGTGGAGTTATCTGCCCTTTTTAAACAAAATTTATGAAAAGTTCACTCCATAAACAATCTAATTATTGTCTGAGCAAAGTAAAAAGTTTTTTATCATTTTTCCCATTATTTTTTATGAGAATTGGAATATCAGCCTAAAAATACTACTGGTTGTTGATAAAAATATAAACATAAGCAAACATTTTGTCTTCAAAACATGTTTTTACAGAGGACAATTTTCAGCCAAAATTTGTGACTTTTGAGTTTAAATTTGGAGGAGAGAAATAAGTCCCTTTTCAATGTAAAGTTACAAAAATATTATCTTTATCAACACAAATACTATTTGATATTCTCATTCTCTTGAAAAATATCGAAAAAATTCAAAAAACTTTTTAATTTGCTCAGACAATAGACAATATTATTAATCAATTGAAAAAACTTGTATATTTCTTTGTATCGATATGGAAACTGTATTTACTAAGTGTCCAGTCAGAACAGATTTAAAAAAAGATTCAAAAGAAAAAGATAAAATATTTTCTTTTTTCATGCAAAACAATACTAAAATTTTACTGGTCAACTGGGTTTGGAAACTGACAGTGTAAAGGAAGATCAGGTATATATTATAGTGAGTAAGAATCAACTTGTAAATATTACTCACCATCAGGCATACTGGCAGCGTTAGATATATTATTGGTACTCTGAGCTTTTGTACTTGACTCTGCTTCAGGGGCGTTAAATTCAAGGGAATCCAGGTCCAATGATTTCGGTCTAGATCTGGAAATATTACTAGAGATATTCTGGGCGATGGATTTGATCTTGTTTCCGATGATGCTAGAACGTTTTGTTGCCCGGGAGAATCTACTGGACGCCATGGATGTCACGCTACGACTCAAACTCATGTTGCTGGCGAAACTTGACGTCGTTGCCGACTCATTTCGTGGAGTTTCATTGGTTGTATGCTTTGGTTTAATGCATCTTGGAAGTGATCTTGTTCGACGGCATGGAAGAAATTTCATGTATCTTGGTTCTTTGTTCAGATTTTCTTGTTCCAATAGCTCCTCATATTTAGCGTCAATTTCATCGAAATATTGAGCCATGATTTCATCTCGTTTTGGTTCGTCTTCTGTGTCAAGGTCGTCAAAACTGTAGGAACGAGGCTGAATTCGACCAGGAACTCGCTTCTCTTTTTCAAACGTGTGAATCTCTTGAAGAATATGATCTGTTGCTCCGGAAACTGTCCGTCTGCGTTTTCTTCCTTTCTCAAATTTTAACGACTCTCGGAATGAACACATTCTGTGGAAGGTGGAACCTGAGGTATCTATGACAACAGTGCTTGGAGTTTTAGTAGGAGTTAGTTCCCCCTCTTCATTTTGTTCTTGATCATCCAGATTGAAGTTGTCTACGGCGATGGTTTTTGGTCGATCTCGAAGCTTGAGTTTCTTATACTCTTTCTTGAAAGATACCACTGGCATCTAGAAAACATTCAAAATATGAAATGAAATAAATGGGAGTTATAAATCCTAATTTTCTGCACCTTTATGGGCAAGTCAATGCAGTGTGCAATGGGGGAAATTTGCCAGAACAGCAGCATTAGTCTACTCTTTCTTGATTTCCAATTATCAAGTGAACTTTAACACAAGTTTATTGTCCCCATCTGAATGACAATAATATTCTACAGTATAAGAACTGTCAACGCAAATTATAGCTAAAATCTATAGCATTTCAATTTCCAACTGTTGAGGGAACTTTAACGAGCACAGCCTGTAGCACACAGGGCCTCGTCCCATCTGAACGACTTGACGCTGTTCATCCGACCTGCACTGACATGTAGAAACTGGGTTGAATAATCTAAAGGTATTATCTTTACCTATTCCAGGATTGAACTCTGGACCTTCAGGTTAGCAAAAAGTTCATTAGTTGCTACCAATATATTGCCAATATGTTGTTTTTGGATTTTCCAGTTTCTTTCCGTGATGCAGATATTTTTTTATTAATCAAAATTGTCACATACCTTTCTATTGAGACTGAGATCAGGAGATTTGAGTTTGGCTTCATTATGGAACACAGGCCACAGTTTAAATAATATAGAACTATATAGACCATCTTTACGATAGGCGTCAGCTCCTCGCAGAACTTTCGCTGGTGTGACGTCTGCTAGGGTATACTGGTCTTTAATACATTGTGGTCTAGAATCGGCAGTAAACATGTGACAATCGTAACCATGGTAAGCAGCGTGATGTTCATCAACTCGTGAAAATTTCTTTAAATCTCCTACAGCTGTAAATATAGAAATAAAAAGTTGAGTATAAATTGAAGTAAAAATTAAGCTAAAAATATTTAACCAAAATGGGTCTGAATTCTCAAAAGAATCTTGTCCTGAGATTTTTGCCTGATTTCAGTTTTTTGAGCCATTTTGTCGTCATTTTAAAAGTATATATCATCTTATGATAATAATCCTTACAACGTTTCAACAATTTACATCTAGAATCTGTTATTAGATGAGTTATCTGCACTTAAATATATCTACAATTTTAATTGACACTAATTTTTAATCTTTTACCATAAAAATTATTTTTTGAAAAAAAAATTCAATGAGTCATAAATTCTTGTTCAATAAAAAATAACAAGCAGTCACGACCCAGTGAAAATATGACCCACAAGTTTACAACCACTATAGAGAAAGTTAAACATCACTAGAGATCATTCAGGTGTTTCTTTTATTATACAAACACTTTCAAATCAATAAAAAGATCTCAATTTGAGGGAGAAGTGGGTGGGGGGAGTGGGGCAACAGTAGATGGGGAAGAGACAGAATGGTAAGGGGGTGCCTAGAGTCTACTTGATGCCGGCCCCCAAAACTCTTTCATTATCTACTAGGTGAACAAGCTGTACAGAAAACAGCAATATTCATTGGACAGTTCTTTTGAGAGTCTAGGGTCTGCTCCATATCAGCCCTAAAAAATCGTTTAAACTAAAATTAGAGTCAAACTATTGATAAATAAAGTTCTCACGCAGCCGGAGAGTCGTAAAGCCCCGCTTGAATGAGTTCACACTATAAAAATACTGAACGATTCAATCATATTTTATATCTTTATTCAAATTGATTTTTAATTTATTTAATATTCAGAATTAATCATTACCTTTATTGAAAGTTTTTCTTCTACTCAATTATAAAAACACGAGGCTGAGTTTAATTAGGGTTCAGAAGTACGTTATGTAATTATATTTTAGAAATAATTTTTATGTCAAGAAAACTTTAAAAATAATTGGTCGTGTTTTTGTCAAAGAAATAAAGTTTTTACAGATATTGTGTATATTTTTTAATGGTTATTTTTTTAGTATAAGGTGAACGATATGACTGCAGGGTAAATAGATATATCATTCATTCATTGAAGCCTCACCACGAGAAAACAGACATAAAAGATTTGAGATATTTTAAACGACAAAATTTGACAAGTAAACAATGTTATGACAGTGAATGAACTCTACGATCAATCGAAGGTGGAGCAGAGATATTTGAGCATGACCAGGTGCACATTTAAACTCTAAAATTAGATACAGCTTGAGAAACCAGACGGAAATGAAATGAAATGAATGGAGTTTTATGTCCTACTCTTCTGCAACTTGTGGGCTAGAGAAACCAGACGGAGCAAGATGTTTGTCTGGTCAACAATACTTTATTACATCATAACAGAATAGTGACAGCACCAAGCAACCAAACAGAAGTTATTAAATTTGAAGTTGATATTTTGTTTTGAATGTAACCATACATTATATCTTTTTTGCATTGATTTCTATATATAATTCACAGTAATTAGATTTTCTCTAACACAGAAAGGTGTAGACACACAAGCGATCTTGGTCCTGACTAGAATCTTGAGTAAATCTTGCATGTGCACGTGCTTCCACGACAAGATTATCATTTCCCTGACATGATTTATAATATCAAAGTTTGATATTTGTCTCCGATAGTTTTAATGTCTGTGAGACAGACCGTCATCATCCAATCAGATTCCTTTTCCTTTCAATTGCATGCTCTGCACGTGATTATCAACAAGGTGGAAAACGACCAGCTGGAGATTTTTGTCTCCCCCTGTGCCTCTACCAGTCACTTAAACTCAAGACAACACTGTATTCGTTGTTATTTTTACTACTTAACTTTACAAACGAACAATATTCATTCACCAGAAAATGTAATTAAGATATAGGCTACCCGTTTTCTCACCACAATTCACAATAATCCTTTCAATACAGATGAAAAGAAATTGTAATTTGCACTGATATTGAACAGGTCAAGACACTTAGAGTGACTCTTTCATCACAAAAACTATGACAGAGTTTTATTCATGTTGTCAGACCCTTTTAATAATATTTCACAGAGGTTATTAATAATATCATGACCCAGTCAAAAACTGTTATATATTACTATATATTGTTAATATTAGTATTACTGTGGGTGGGTGTAGCACGCCCTTTTACCTACTTAGAACATTTAGTTCAATCAGAAAACAGGAAAGTACAGCGTGAAAGTACAGTCCCGCCTTATAATAATATTACTGTGGGTGGGTGTAGCATGCCAGGATGTACGATTTTTCAACCCGGTTTTTTCCTGTAGGTTGGAGGGGCTGACATGGAAAAAGCTTCTAATTCTTTGGACGGGACAATAAACTGAGGCCCCGTGTGCTACAGGCTGTGCACGTTCAAGATTCCTCGACAGTTGGAAATTGAAAAAGAGTAGGCCAATTTCACTGCCCTGGCAAAATTTCCCTCATGGCACACTGCAAGGCATTGCCCTTCTTCATTAGCCCACAAGGAGTAAAAAAGTAGGACGTAAAACTCCATTCATTTCATTTTTTGAAATTGATTGAGTCAGATTAAAAATACTTTCCAATACATGCAGTGTGAAATGAGGGAAACTGTGATAAGATCAAGTGTACATAGTTCTAAAAAATCAGCCTTAAGGACTTATTGAAATAAATTATGTCAGATTAAAAATACTTTCCAATAAAGTCATGTTATTAGGATAAATCATTGGCCTCCATTGAAAAAAACAGGTTGAAACTATAAAAATGTTTTATCAATAGGTATTATTATAACTTGATGATTTTACACCTAAAACTTGTAGGTTATTCAGTCAATATTACCTAGTCTACCTTATTAACATTTATTAGAGCAAGCCCTAAAACTTGAGGGTCAGGTATTTAACTTAAAGGTTTTGAGATGGTGAATTGCTTTAAGTGGAATTACAGGAACCAGAGACGTCTGACTGAAAATTAGAATGGTGAAAATTGATGCTATTATTGTCCCTGATGTCATGAAATATGTGGGAATAATATTATATATAGTTTGTAGGTTGTAGGTTATATTTGTATTTGCAAACAATAATTCAGTTTTTATATCAGACTCAATGAATTCTTAATACTAAAAAATTATCAAAACTCCTGATGATTCTGATTTGACTAACCAAGATGCAAAGTGGCAATCGGGTATTTTGGAAGAGAGGGCATGCATCCTCTAACGAACAACTCAGAATATCCAACCTTTCCTACCTTTTTTAGATTTCTTAATCCTAATACAATCCATGGTTATCTTAATATCATCTTAAATACCTAGCTCATGTATTAAACCTTGGATGCTTATAACTGTGAGTTGGAATACTGTTACTAGGATCTCCGAGGAGTTGTCTAACAAGTTATAAAACTGAGTTTACTGATAGCCTAGAGGGTTGACTTGGTAAAATTACTGTATATATTATAATAATATCAGATCGGTTAAAAACATCACCTCTTTCTCTCTGGTCCACTACACTCTTATCAACTTTTATTTTATTTTTTATCTTTTTTTTAACTTAAAGAGATTGTAAGAGGTTTTCTTATACCACTGATAGAATCAATTTGCATATTCCAATTTTCAATCAGATGTCTGTAGTTCTTGCAATTCCACATAAACAATGCATTTTCATGACGTCACTATCGCAAAGGAATTATATATCAATTGCAGCATGGTGATGTTGCTATGGTGATGTATAGTTTAAGTGGAATTACAAGAACCACACAGGGCCTCGGTTTAATGTCCCATCCGAACGACTAGATGCTTTTTCCATGTTAGCCCTTCTTACCTGTATCACTGACATGTGGAAACCCAGTTTAAAAATCCAAAGGTATCATCTCAACCTATGTCCAGATTGAACCCTGTTGCATATATTCAAGGTTCTGTAGCTGTTTGCAAAACCATAAAACTTTTTTTTTTTGAGAAAATTCATTCAAGGATAACCCCATATTTTGTTTACATGAAAAATCCAGCCAAGTCTCTTTAAAGTTTATTATCGACAAACAGCCAACAATCAGTGACTTGTGACTTTAATGTCAGCCCCTCCTGATCACCCTCCTCGCTTGAGTTCTCACTCTCAATAACATCATTCAATATCAACTTAATATAGGCTCCATTTAACACGCAGTCAGTCAAAACAAATTTCATACAAAATTTCCTCATTGCAAACTGCATGGCATTGCCAGTCTTCATTAACTCCATTTAAAAAGTAGCATATAAAACCAAAGTATCTATCATTTTAATGTTACCTCAGTCAAATCATTTTCATCCTGAAATGGGTCTGTTGTCTGAAGATCTCTACTTGTCAAACTTTAGTAGTTAGTAGGGATACAGGCTGAAATAGATCAGTTGTCTGAAGATTACATAGTGTGAAACTCTGAGTAACAACACCATGTTTGTTTTTTAGACTTAGTTTTAATATTTCTAATTTTAGATTAAGTTAAATATTTAAGAATAAGGAAAAGATCAGAATTAGTAATTTAAGGAATTTGACATGATTTGAATTTTAAGAAAATTTATACATTTCATGAGACAAATCTCTCTCCCAATATCACCTATATTACATAAAAAACAAAAACATTTTAGGCTTAAGACGGTATTGTGACAAGATTGATATTGTATAAAGCTGATAGAGAAATTGGCAGACTGAGATGATAGACAACTTCGACAGTTTAAATCACCCATTGTAGTCTTCATCGTCAATATCCTGTACCATCAATCATATAGACTTTATTATCCAGACTGAAATAACATAGTAATATGAAATGAAAGACTGGGTAATAGAGACTAATGTTGGAAAGAGAGTGCATCTATTGTAAAAGTCAGATACATGGCCTTTATTTCAAAGTTTATTTTGATTTTTGAAGACTAAAGGGAGACAACTCTAACTATTTAACATCTGTTTGATAATGTAGGATGTAGGTAAAATCATTACATGGTTCCTGCAATTCCACTAAAACTAAATGATGACGACATTATAAATCACAAAGGCCTCATACAAGCATATTTAGTGACATCATCAAACACTTAGTTTTAGTGGAATAGCAGGAAACACAGATGTCTGATTGAAAATTAGAATGATGTAAATTTATGCTCACAGTGTCTCAGATATACATAAAAAAAGGAGAAAAACTTTTTACAATCCCTTAAAATAACCTAATCCTGATTAAAGACAAACATCAATATGGGGAAAATCACAAGAAATTAGAAACGGTAAATTTAATCTCTGATTTTATCAGTTCCTCAAATATCAGAAATTCTAGAGATAAAAATAATATACACGAGTTGAGATATAATCACCTGGATTAGAGATTAGGCTGGGGGGATTAGGATAATCTTATTGGTTTAGATTATCTTTCACATAATCTTGATCTTCTTGTTCAATATGGGCCGAATTTCAAACTTTAAAACCCCCTCTCTTCGTCACCTCCATACCCCGTTTTAACATCATATTTATTGTTATTTGTAACATGGACCAAGCGTATCACACTCTTATTCTGGAATATTATTATTAAATTCTAGTAATCCTCTCATTGGTCAATCTCTAAAATCTAATTTGAATTTAGTTTTCTTATCCAATCAGATTATTTCTCTCAGATTTATAATCTGGGATGACAGTGGTCTGGTATTAGCATTATTTTCACTCAAGAGAGTTTTTAATATTTGACTAGGAAATTACGATACTTAAAAACCAAAAATCATAACTTGATAACTATTATATTGACAAGCGTTGTTTACAGTCAACCAATAAATATAGCCAACACAAACACTAACCATAGACAATCAACCAATACAAACATAGCTTACATTGACAGCATACCCTTACTGGCCAATCAAAACACTTCTAACATACTGTTTATAGACAACCAATACAAATACACCTAACATTGACAGCATACATTTACTAGCCAACCACAACACTTGTTATATATTGACATAACAACTACTTGACATCCAATCATAACCTATTTAACAATTATCAGTATACAAACTGACCAATAAAAACACTTGTAACATTATCAAGTGCTGGTCAACAAGTTACAAGATTTTGAAAGTAAATTTACCTTCCCTAAGAAAGAATTCAGAATGTGTAACAAAATTCTCCACTAAGCTAATAATACAATATTGTTTTCCGAGAGACAATAAGGAGTGGTTTCATAAAAGGTCACACATATTTTCATATTTCATTTTCTGAATACCTTTTCCTCCAAACTTGTCGTACTGGAGATTGTTCTCGAACATTTTACTCAATCTCAGTGTTCCAGTCTTCTGATGTATGCTTTTGCATACTTTCTATTTCATCGAAAATTCCACAGTAAAAGATGGCCGGCTGTTTAAAATTTGTAGAATAAGAATATTTTGAAAACTGAAATCAACACAGGAAGTGACAACTAGAAATAATAATAAGAATTTTTAATTTAATAATTTATTGGAGCCTATTAGAGTGCTTTCATTTTGAAATTCTCAAATAACGACTGAAAACTATGATGAAGATGACTTCAAAATAAAAACCAAAATATTTAAATATAATGTAATATTGAACTATTCCTTGGCACCTTTAAAGATGGGTTCCCTCATTTTTATTTATGAAAATGAAAATGCTTATACCAGACTGTACATACATGGACATTTATGATTGGTTAAAACTCTTAATTATATGCAATATGCAACATAATGATATGATTAAAAATACATGATAACTCATTGGAAACACCAATTAATCTAATAGTGCGCATAATTTGACACTAAAATATAAGGAAACCCAGAAAGGATTTTGAATGGCTAAGAACTGGAACTTTTATCCCAGATAACTGAAACTTGACAGGAAATGTTTTGAATTTTGATTTGACTATAAATATTGATGGGATTGTAAATCAGATTGGCATGACAAGCAGACGGACAAGTCCTGGTCATCAGGTGTTGAAACAAGATAAATTATTTAAATTAGAGGTCAGATAGAGGTCAGTACGTGACAGATGGACAGTGCACGTGTGGTAGACAGTGATGTCCAGGTAGAGACAACAGTTGTCATGTAGCAATTAACGTCCAGTCCTATGTAAACAATGAAACATAATGTAGACACTAATGTCCAGGTAAGGACTGAAGTTGTCATGTAGTAGTCATCTTCCAGTACTGTAAAAACAATAGAGATTAAGCCCACTGGATTTTATTTTCAGCAGAAGGCACTGGCAGAGTGTTTGCAACAATAGATGACTTAGGCCTAGTCACTAATATCCAGTCAGGTAAAAGCGAGTTAACAATATAAATGTTGCAATCATCAAGGCAAATTCAAGCAATGTAGTATTTGTTAGTGAAAGTATTGGCCATGGCATTGAATTTTGTGTTATCTTGAACAGGTTTCGAACCCACAGCACCTGCTCAATTGGCAAAGGTAATTCCAACTCCCTATCAACTGAGCTATTCCCCTGTCACTGTGGTAGTCAGAATAGTCCAGACACAAATGTCAATTGAAGTGAACACAATAGAGGTGTGTAGTCACATGTGTCAAGACAAAAAAAAAACAATGGAGTTTAATTTACTGTGGATTAAGGTAAAACAATGAGTTTAAGATCGGTGGCAATATGTCAATAAAATACCGTGGACATCAATAGAACAACATTTTAACAACCATACGAACAGCACAGAGTCTTCCAATCTGAACCAATCCAACTACCAACTACTACGACTACTAACAACTACCTAGTTTGTGATATCAGCATCCGCTTGAAGCGGACACATTATCTATATTGCACATCATCAGAACAACTTGATTCAGGCTAGAGATAAATTGAAATGACACTGGGTTGAGAAATTTGACAGGGCTGAGAAATTTGACAGGGCTGAGAAATTGGACAGGGTTCTATGATCTTAACAAGTTCGTTGGTAGAGTAAATTAAACTTTGCAGATTAAGTTAATATATTTACATTTCATTGTCACGTGCTACAGTAAACCCATGTGAAAAATTTGCATTCATTTACCAATTTGAATTAACACGCAAAAAATCTACATTCAATCCTTAATTGAATATAAGCATTAAAACAATACTGATAATCTTAGATAATCTGACTTTGTGGTGATAAAAATATAACTTTCTCTAAAAATAAATTTCAAATTGATACAACTAACAAACTTGCAAAGATAATAGGGAGAAAATGGTAATACTTGTTGTTAAATTAAAACCAAATTTTCAAAAAAAGATGCCATGTTTGCTAGATTTGACACGGATCTAAACAGGAAGAGCCATTGTTGTCAA